TGCCATCCGCCTCATTTTTTTGCCTGACCAGCTCTTCATTATTGCTCATAGCCTCTTCATGTCGCTCGACCCTGACGGCGCAGGCTCTTTGGGCCTCCTCCAACTTCTTCTGCTCGCCAGAAAGTTAGAACTCGAGTGACACAACCTGGCGGCGTGTGTCCTCCAGCTCTGCCTTAACCGATTGCAGCTCAGTGTGGGCACTCTCCCAACCTGCACTCTTCTTCTTTAACTTTGTAACCTGAGCCTTGGCCTCATCTGCCTTGAGTTTGGCAGCCCCCGCCTTCCTCAGCAGGGCCCCTACTAAGGTGGTTACCTCTATTTGAGCGGAGTATAACCCCCTTAGCAGTTCAGCCTCGTTGAATCTGGAGGTCGAGCGCAAGGCTGCCTCTTCTACAATCCCTACCAGGCGGTCTGCCCCTGCCCTGGCTGGGCCTTCTTCTCCCTCCAGCCGCCCCGCCACCGCACAAGCATGGTAGATCGCCGTGGTTAGACTGACTCCCCCTTCTTGAGGTGCAAGACCCCCCTGGGGCTGTTCCTCCCTCCTTGGCCCAGGGCCAGCTACCTCATCCTCCACTTGCCTTTTGGTGGCGGCATTTGCGACCCTTGCGGCGATCGCCGCCACCATTGGCACCACCTCCATGCCCTCTAAGGCAACATCCACCACTTCTGGGCCACCTACCCTTCCTGGGGGCCCCTCCACTTCTCCTCCCTCAGCCCCCTTGGCAGCACTGGTTTCCTTCACACTCGTCTCCCTCATCCTCTTCTGGGTAGGCACTTCCTCACTCCGACTCACTCTCTTCTTCTTCTTCCCCACGCCCAACGCCTCCATCTCCTTCAAGGACCTCTCCTTCAAAAGGTCTGTTGGGGGCGGCCGCGGCACAAAATAGCCCAAGTTTTTCTCTCCTAAGGGTTTGGGGCGAGGTCGAATCCTCTCCCTCGCAATCGGTTTTGATGGTCGGTCGGCCTGGGACTCTTTGAATTGTTGGGCTTTAGCAAGAATTTCCTGATCCTCCGCCTCCTGAGCCTTTTTTCTCGCCTCCAACTCTGCTCGGTCGAGGTCCCCACTACTTGGCTTTGGCCCCAACCCCGCCTCAAATAATACCGACGGCTGAACGAGCTTGTCCCATTTGGCCTTTTCTCTCTCCCTCCACTCCTTCACCCTCTTCACCCTTCCCTCCGCAGCTGCCCCCAGTTTCGGCTCCACCGACCTGATGGGTACTTTCCAAACGGTGCGCACTCCAAGCCCCCCATTGGCAGACACGTAGAACCATCGTGGTCGCCACCCCTTGATCGACGACGGTAGCCCCGCCACCAACCCTCTCCCCAGTGCTGCCTGCAGAGTGACCCATGTCTCTTGCTGCCCCGAGGCCTTATAACATGCAAAGAATTCGTCTACTGTCATGGCCTCCCCCCCATTCGCTTTCGGCCACGCACTTGCGCAGGCCAGCAGGATCTTCCATGCGTTGGGCATTAGTTGCCCCGGTGCTACCTCTAGACGGTTGAGCACATCCACCACCACTTGCGGCAGTGGTAACCTCAGTCCACCCTTCAGAGCTTCCTCATAGAGAGAAAACTCTTCTGGCCTGGCGTCAGACGGCCTTTCCGTTGATGTCGGCAGCAATAGCTCCACTTCTCCAGGGATCTGGTATTTTTTGCGGATAGCCTCCAACTCCGCCCCAATAATCGTGGATTTGTCAGCCTTCGTATGCCAATGATCTGGTTCTGCCTGGATGATTGGCTTTGGAGCTGCTATCATGGTGGAACCGTGGGGTCGTACCACCGACTCCCCCACCCTCTCTGTCCTATACTGCGCCGCTAGCTCCACAGCATCGTCATCTCCAAGCGGGTCCACCCTGACAATCACACTCCCTTCTTCAGTCATTTCTGTGGTATGTTTGTGAATCGCTTCAGCGACAGGAACAAGGAAATTGAAAAAGTGTTGCAGAGGTGTATTGTGAGCAACAAAGGAATTCACACTTGGAATATTTTGATTTTTTGTAAATAAGTAGGTAAATCGAATAATGCCAAAAGCCCACGGTTTGCCCGTATTCCAAGGATCCCAATTAATTTCTGCCAGTTTGAAAACATTTCAAAATCATACGCCAAAACTATCTCTTCAACACCCATAATGACTTATCGTTTCATTTCTGATCCAACGCCTAATCTTCCCTCTCCTATGGGATGTTGCCATGTGTACGTCCACGATCCACTGTCCCCTCCCTTTACCTTGTATTTTCCACTTTAACTCACCACGTGACCTGCCGCGTCTCGAGCCCCACGCCCCTCCACCTCATCCTTTGCGGTCGGCCCTCCTCGCGGTCGACCCTCCCGCTTAATCAAACGCTGCGGTCGGCCTTCCCCGTAGTCAGCCCTTCCGCTCAGTCAAACGCCGCGGTCGGCCCTCCTCGCGGTTGGCCCTCCCAGTCGGCCCACATCGCGGTTGGCCCTCCTCGTGGTCAGGTCTCCCACTCGGCCAACACCGCGGTTGGCCCTCTTCGTGGTTAGCCCTCCCGCTCGGCCAAACGCCGCGGTCGCCCCTCCTCGTGGTCAGCCCTCCCACTCGGCCAACACCGCGGTCGGGCCCTCCCGCTCGGCCAACCACCGCGGTCGGCCCCCCCTCGATTACCCCTTCCGGTCGACCACCATCTTGCCAATCCCTAACACACTCATCTATGTCACTAATATTCCCTTCGTTGGACTAAAGCTGCACTCAGGAATGGGGGACTACTGACATGTATAAGCCCATAAAGGCCATGAATCACCTATGGCCCATCACTTGAAGCCCAGTGCATAACCCAGCTGACGAGGTCCAGGACAGCTGGAGTCCAACATGGCATAAAGAGCCAATGACATTCAGACACACGGCAAGAGAAGGACGAACCACATCAGCAGACAAAGATCTGCAAAGTTATTGCCACTGCATATCACCATTAATGCAGCCCATCACAGCATTTATTACGACAACACCTCTCCGCCGGAACAGGACCCCCTTACCCTGAGCAAGGTAAGCTATAGCATAGGCTTTTGGCAAGGAGAGCAGGTTGGAAGGGACAGCGAAATGATTGCCAAAGGATATAAGCGAACGTTGTAGACAAGAAAAAGGTTAAGCTTTCTACCTCTAATCTCCTTCCATATACTCTACTTCTCTTCCTAACTTGATCGTCGGAGGGTTCACTGGGGGACTACCCCGTTCCCCGTTGAACTTGTTTGCAGGGTATCCGGTGGGCTCGATCATTTGAGCTTGGGCTTGAGGAGCTTGGACCAGTTCGCTCCATTCACCGGGGATAAACTGTATCAACAATTCAAAATCATCCTAAACATGAGACAAGAACAAAGTGCAATGCATTTATGTATGTATCTTTGGATCGAGACATGTCGAAGTGGTTAGTGAAAAATTTTGATGACAACCACAACCATCATTTGCATCTTCCTTAGTGCACACATTTGATACCATCTCAAAGAAAGTTATGTCAGGTTCAGGCTTTAAATGTTGATATAGCTAATGACACTGGTATCTCGCTTAAAGCATCACATGATCTCATTAGTGCCTTAGCAGGGGGAAAAAAAAATTTGGGATTCACGAGAGAGGACCAAAAAGCTACTTGCATGAAGAAAGACAACGATATTTGCAATACGGGGAAGCTAGGAGTTTATTAAGATATTTTCAACAATAAGTAGCTGAAAATCCATATTTTTATTACGCAATTCAATTGGATGTGGATGAGATGATTACTAATATTTTTTGGGCTGACCATGAGATGATTACAAATTATGAACTTTTTGGTGATGCCGTATCATTTGACACAACATTTCGAACAAATAAGGAGTATCGGCCAGTAGCTTTATTTGCTGGCTTTAACCACTTTAGAAAGACAGTGATTTTTGGTGCCTCGTTATTATATGATGAAACTACAACTTCGTTTGAGTGGTTATTTGAAACCTTCTTGCATGCAATGTCGGGGAAAAAGCCTACCAGTTTTTTCACAGACCAAGATTAGGCAATTACAAAGGCAATATCTGAAGTCATGCCTAAGGTTTTCCATGGATTATGTACTTTTCATCTAATGCAAAATGCTTTGAAGCATTTAGGGTACTTGCATAAGAGTGGTTCAAAATTTGGTAGTGATTTCAAAACTTGTATTTTTGGATATGAGGATAAACACGAGTTAATTGATGCTTGGGATTCTTTGATTGATAAATACAACTTGCGTGAGAATGTGTAGATGAAGAAGACTTGGGAAAAAAGAGAGCAGTGGGCGCACGTATACATGAAATACTTGTTCACTGTAGGAATGTGAAGCACTCAACTTAGTGAAAGCCTGAATGCAGCATTAAAGAGGTATTTTCAAGCTGATCAAAATATTGTTCAATTTTTTACCCACTTCAATTGGATTGTTGTAGATAAGCGGCATGAAGAAGTAAAAGCTATATATTATTGTAGACAACAATTGCCGAGAATGAAATTACAAAAGTCTCCTATGTTGAACCAAGTTGCGAATTTGTACACCCCTCCTATCTTTGACTTATTTCATAATGACTTGGATATGTCTCTTTGTTGTCGAGTGAAGCAATGCCATGAGTTAGAAGGAGAAGTTCAGTACGTGATTAGCTTGTATGGTGATGATAGAGAGTATATTGTGGAGTGTAATATGGAAGTTAATGAGTTAGGAGGAGACAAAATTTGTCAAAGAATTCATTGCACTTGTCAAAAGTTTGAAAACATTGGAATTTTATGTGGTCATGTAATTAAAGCACTTACGTTATGATGCAGGGAACTATCGAAGATATGGTGAACAGGGGAAGAGATGGTGGCTGGATTCCGGTAGTGAGGCAATGGAATGGAGGTGGAGCTCAAAAAAAGGAAGCACAGCAGGGTCTTATCACTGTCTTTGTGGACAACATCCCGTCAACTATGGACGCCAAAGCTCTGTACAAACTCTTCACCAAATTCGGGATTGTGAAGGATACTTACATTCCTTTCAAAAGAAGCACTTGATAGAATGAATGTTATGGAAATTCCTAAGAGGTACATATTAGGTCGATGGAGATTAGATGCCAAGAGTGGTGAAATTAAGGGAGGAAAAGTTGAAGTGGATGAGAATGATCCCAAGTTAGAGATATTAGCACATTACAGGGATCTTTGCCCTAGGATGGTAAAGCTAGCAACTCAAGCATCTGTGTATAAGCCTGCTTATCAATTGGTTGATGAAGGGATTAAGGAACTGTGTACAAAAGTGAATAAAATGATGGTATTATTTGATGATTCGAGTGCTTGTGGTAGTAGAAGCAACATTGACATGAGTTCTAATCCTAACTTTGCACCAGTTAAAGGCTTAAAAAGAAAAAGAAAAAGAAGGTGGATAGAAGGGTGGGGGTAGATTAAAACCTTGGCATGAGAAGACTTATAAGAAGACAAAAATTATTTCACAATCTACCGACCGTAGTAAGGTATTGTTCACCTACTTGATTCTAATTTTTGTTTTCTTTTTGACTCACGTAATGTATTGATAAATGTTATAATTTTTTTAGAAAATTGGCCGATCAAGCAACACGTTAAATGTTCAAAGTTCCTCTTTATGCAGCTCACAGGTTATATTTTATTTTTTATATTTAAATTTTCTTATAATAGTATATTTACTTCTAATAGTATTTTATGAATTGGGATGTTGAGATACCGTATTGGCCACAATTGATGAATTATGTTAACAATCTTTTCAAGCTTGACGATACTAACATTACGTGCCCATCAAATTACCCACAGTCTACCCTTTTATCTACACAAACATCATTTAATCCACAAACTTCTCAGGTACGCAATTTTTCTTACGTTTGTAATGTAGTTTGTTTCTAATAAAAATAAATTGATTCCAATATATTCTCTCACACTTATTCATTTTTATTTTTTCAGGGAATGTCATTTGATGAAAGAGAGCCCAATGCCACGAGGGGCGAGTCATTCTTAGACGATGAAACTTTTTTACAATTTTTTAGTCATTCACAACCTCCCAAATAAAATTGAAACGTAATATTTTTATTTTATTTTTTACCGTAATTCTTAGATAATGGTATTTTTTTTGAAACATATTTTGAATATTTCAAATGATTTTTATAGAATTTTGTTTGAGCCTTAGATTTTTTTTTTAGTGTAGTTTTGGATGGACATATTGTAGTTTTTGCATAACTTGATAATTGTTTGTTTTAATTATTGATTTGACAAATTATATTTGTTTATTCTTGAAGTAGTCATTTTTTGTCATTTTGCTTCTTGTTTAGATGAATAGGTTCAAATATATATATATATATATATATCGAATTGAGTGGCATCATTAATTAATAAAAAAATATAAATTAAATTAAATGGACATTATTTATTTTGTCACTATGAAATTAAGAACTATATAGTGAAGTGAGATGATGACATCCACGTAGTTAGATTTATATATGAGAGGGTAATTTGTAAACAAATTGGGCCGAGCTAGGAAAGTCTTCTTTGGAAGTTGGGCCGCGCAATGAGCCGAGATAAGGGCTGGTGTAGCTCGGTCTTAGGCTAAGAAGACATCTCATATTATGGATTTGGGCCGAACTATGGGCCGAGGTGTTTGGGCTTCGCAAGTTAGACCTTGTCCTTGTTAGTTCGGTCGGAGACTGCTGCAGTTAGCTCGGTCTAAACAGACAAAACTAAGGTATCAGTGGGGGGAGAACCGAGCTAAAGGATAGCTCTGCAGGGCGTCATCTCAGAGTCAAGACTGATAGTGGTGCTTAAAGTATCACCGAGCCGAAATAACCTGGTTAACTGCAATGTCAGCCGAGGTAAAGATGTCAACCGAGGTAAAGGAGATAACATCAATGGCAAGGGCCGAGCTGTGTATAGCTCGGCAGGGTGGCATTCGATAGATTGGCTTTCGATCACACGGTCCGAATGGCAGAGGACCGAGATAAGGCAGTTCGGTCAGAAATATATAACTGAGGTAAAGGGTTCAGCCATCTCACTTGGCTTGCAGTGATGAGACTCCTAGTAGGACTCTGCTAAGAAGAGTAGAGTCCTACTGGAATTGTGCAAACCATCTCAGTCGGTTAGTAGTGAGTAGGGTGTGTGATTCCTATGAGGACTCTCATAGGGAGAGTTGGAATCCTACTAGGATTGTGCCAAAGTAAAGTTTATAAAAGCTCATGACCAGACCTGTGGAGAGGTATCCCAATTCTTACTCTAGAATACACAGAGCTTATTGTCTATTGTCTAGTGTCTAGTTGCTGACTTAAGCATCGGGTTTCTGGCACACACTCGCCGGTTAGCTTACGTTTGTGTTTTCAGGTGGCAAAGCAATGTTGTTCGGAGGAGTGCAAACTTGATCAACAGGATCATACGAGAAGAATTATTTCGTGCTCGTACAATATACATTTTTTTTTTTAATGACAACACTTGGGTGTATATACATATATAATGATTGTTTGAATAATATAATAAATAACACGTGTCTTTAGTAATAGTAAGGATACTAACTGGCACAGTGGTAAGTGTTGGCACCTCTCTTGGACAGGTCAGGGATTTGAAGCTCAGAGCTGTGGAGTTAATTTTAAAATCACTTTGTCGTTTTGGGCGTGCAGTAGTTGCTGCTGCACAACAGTATCCCCAACTCCCAAGTCTACACACTCGAAAAGAAAAAAAAGAAGAAAAAAAATCTATCCAGAATTTAAAATTTAAGGCCAAGATCCTTCATAGTGCCCACAACAAGAAGTTTAAATATACATTTTTTATATAAGTTTTTGAGACTCAAGAGATGTATGAAATTTGTGAACATGAAGTTTGATCATAAAATTGTTGCCACATTAATCAGTAGGTACTAATTAATCAACTTCCATTAATGAAATAATTTTTTCAAAATTTAAATTGAAGAAAATGACAAAATTATAATTTTTATATTCATAAGGGCAAAAATGACAATTACACAGTAAAAAGCTATTTTACAGCTTATTTACCAAATACTACTCTGTTACTTAAATCTATAATCCTACAACTACATCAAACAAGTTATCAGCTTATGCTCACAGTTGTAAGTTATAATCTGTTAAGTTATAATTTATAATCATTTTCTAACAGCTCTACTAAACAGGGCTTAGTCACAAGTGAAAGTAATGAAAAAATGAGAGATGAAATAAATGTTCATTTAAATAATAGGTGTTGACATATTGTTGTACACTGAGTTACACGCATAGAAACAGCTAATCATTCCTCTATTTTTCAAATTTTTAATTTTTTATTTCATTGGTCCCCGGGGCTTTTAGATTTTTGTGATTGAAACACACCACATGGCAGCAGAGATAAAAATCAAAGGTTCATTTATGAATTTTTTTTTTTTTAATCAACATCACAAAACTATGTCTAATATAAATCTAATCATTTTAATTTTTAGGTTATGTCATACACAAATTGACAAATTGGTGGTCCCGATTGTAATAACTTATTCAAAATTATATTATTATTTTCCCCATAGACCCACGTGAAGTTTCCCTAAAAAGTCGTCTTTCACATTTGGTATGTATATGTATTTGAAAATCTTTAAGGGGATAGTTAAAAGAAGGTTTATTAGGTATGTTAGTCAATAAAATTCTAATTTTAAGTTTTAATAGGTTGATTATTAGGTTAGCTACTTTGGGGTCTTTTGGGAACAATAGTAAAAAGTTAGTTTTTTAGTTTTTTAGCTTTTTTAGCAAAAAAAGCCAGCATTTTTACCCAAACAACTCAGTTTTGGGGTAAAAAAGTCAAAAAGTCAAAAGGTCAGTTTTTTACCAATTTTTCAAAATACCACTTTATCATCCTACTTTTTTAGTGGCTACAATTGAAGAGTTCCAGAGACTTTCCAAACAAATATGTATGTATATATCTTGAATTTTTGTATATTTATGTCTTAGATTTGGGATTTTATATATGTATATGTGTATGTAGCAATTTTAAATGTTTTTTTAATTATGTTTGATGAATTACGGAATAACTTATTTTGTATTTTTTTTCTCTTCATTCTACAGGTTTTGTATGTTTGTATGGCCAAATTTATTATTATTGCAAATTTATATTAGTAAAATATCAGCAATTAGTATTTTTTGTTTTAAAAATTAATTAAGTTAGTTTGAATGATTGACTAAAATAAAGAGCGTGGTTGAAAAATATTATAATTAAAGTAATTAGACAAAATAAGGAGTGTACTTTTTTTATACTTTAACTAATGAAAAATGGAAAGTGTGATTGGAATTGATCTTACATGCACTTGTAAAACAAGAACTATTAATTACTTACATATAAGAGAATTCCATCTATGTAATAAATAGTTCAAGCTTCTAAATTGAAATTATAATTATAATTTTTTAATTTATTTCTAATCTAAACTATACACGTATTTTCATTAAGTAAAATTAATGGGAAAAAAATGAATTTTAACGATTAAACTTAATATAGATTATATAAAATGTCTAAAACATAATTTTTCTTTAAATTTAATGATTAAAATATCTTTTGTCCATTGATTTGATTTGACGAAAATAAACAAATAATTTAAATTGAAAATAAATAAAATAAAATAAAATTTTAATTTATTACAATAGTCAAATTGTGATGTATTCTGTATAATTTCTCCAAATGTTTATTATCAAAAGAAAAAAAATATATGACAAAGCTCAAGAAAAAAAAAAAAAAAACATTGACACTGTCAAAAGGCCTTTAGGGGTAAGCAGTGGATATTCCGATTCGTCCAAACTGACTGAATCGAACCGATCCGTTGTATTTTGAACGGATGCGTGATAACGAACGGATGGTTGCTAATATTTTTTTTGAATCCGCCTAATTTTGGACAAATGGAAGATTTAAAGTTGCTTTGGCCGCAACCGCCAAACCGCGAGTACCCACAGTAATTTTTAAGACAGAAATTACCTTCTACTTACTTAGGTTTGCCATTAGGGGCTAGGCCAAGGAGATTGCAAACTTGGAAACCTGTTGTTGATAAGTTCAAGTCTAAGCTAGCAGGGTGGAAAAGAAGGATGCTATTGTTCGGTGGACTCCTAACTTTAATTAAATTGGTGTTATCAAGTCTGCTTTTGTTTTATCTATCTTTGTTTAAAATGCCAGAGGGAGTGGCAAAGGTTATTGATAAGGTTCAGGCTACTTTTCTGTGGGAAGGTTCAGATTTAAGACGGAAATTACATTTGGTGAAATGAGAGGAGGTTACTAAAAGTAAGGATCATGGAGGGCTGGGAATAAAGAGGATAAGAGATGTTAATGATTGTTTGCTCTCTAAGTGGTGGTGGAGGTTTGCGATTGAAGATAAGGCCTTGTGGAAAAGGGTAATATGTTCAAAATATCCAATGTCTGGTAGAAGATAGTTCCCATTTATGGAGAATTCAATCAGATTATCAAGGGCTTGGGGTGACATTCTTAGAGTAGCAGATTGCAACCCCCCATCTCAGGAACTTTTATTTTTCAAATATGGACTTTGTTATTGGCAATGGGAATAGAATTGGGTTTTTGGAGGACAAGTAGCTGAGGTGGGTGTACTAATTTCAAACCTTAACACTGCTCCGATTGTTTTGACCAATATTGATGATTGCCTTAAATGGAAATCACTTCCTCCCGGGAAATTTAGTGTGGCTTCAGTCTATAATAGACAGGAGGTTGGAGCTATCTCAGTTGCTCTGCCTATTATTTGGAAAAATGTTTCTCTTTCAAAAGCACAATTTTTTGGTTGGCTAGTGTGGAAGGGTAAAATTAAATCAGCAGATTTTTTACAACAGATTGGTGTGATTAGTGAGGAAGCTAGTACTTTATGTGTGTTTTGTAAGTCTGAAGGGGAGTCTTTGAATCATATGATGTTGTGGTGTCCAGAGGTATGGAGATTATGGTCACATATTGTAGGATGGTAGGGTCTTCAGTGGGTAGTGCCTGGTTCAGTTGAGAGGTTGCTGTGTTGGTGGGTTGGCTTTAAGTTCAAGAAATTTCATGGGATGTTGTGGAAATCTATCCCTTGTGTTCTCATGTGGTCCTTATAGAAAGCAAGAAATGAATGTGTATTTAATGGAGTTCAGCCTCATCTGGGTGAGCTGTGTGATCTAGTTAAAGTTCGGATTATTGTGTGGTCTAAATCTCACTTTCCCAAGTGTGAGTACACTATTCATGAACTTGTAAACAATTTGCAGCAGATCAGGAGCTATGTTTTTTGTTGAAATACTGGTGCTGCTGTTATATATATATATTTTTTTTGGTTGAAATACTGGTGCTACTGGTGCTGCTGTTATACTGGTGCTGCTGTTATATTGGTGCATAGCTGCTGGTGTTGCTGCATTTTTGATGCTGTTGCTGCTAGTTGTTGCTGCATTTTGGTGCTGTTGCTACATTTTGGAGGTGTTTGTTGGACTTTTTTGAGTCAACTTATGGCTTCTGGCTTTTGGCTTTTAAAAAGTTATTTTGGACTGTTTGGTTAAACTTATTTCAAACAGCTTCTGATTCTAACAATTTATTTTAAGTCAAAAAAGCTAATTCTGAGAAGCTGCTCACCCCTTGCTTCTGATTATCAACTTCTACTATGGACATATTAATTCACGGTTATACTCTTAGATTTTTTTATTCTTTATTTTTTTTAAAATAGAAAAAGACCCAAATAGACTATAAAATATTATTATTATTTTTTATGAGAAATGTAAGCAAATAGTAAATAATAAAAAATAAAAATTAATTGAAAAAGCTACTTCACAACTTATTTAACAAACACTACTCAGTAACTTAAATCTATAATCCAGAAGTTATACCAAACAGATTAACAACTTCTGATTAAAGTCATAATTTATAATCTGTTAAGTTATAAGGTAAAATCTGTTTTAACAACTACACCAAACAAGACCTTGATTACTGGTTGTTGATGTCTAATGGTGTTGATGTATATTACTTTTATTGCTGTTTGGTGGTTGCTGGGTTGAGAAGTTGGTGTTGCTGAGTGATTGGTGGTGGTCCTAGTTGCAAGTAATAGTAGTTGTTTTGTGTGGATGTTGGTGACTGATTTTTGGTTCCTGTTTTGTGTTTTGCTTTTGCGCTGGATGTTGGTTTTTCACCAACTTGGAGTTTGGAGTTTGTGCTAGCAGATGATTTGGTGTTCATCTTGGTGTCAACCTGGTTGGGATCTTGATGGTTCACTGTGATACTTTTACACTCTCCTCTTTTTAATGTACTCTGTCATTAGAGACGGCAATTTGAAATCGACCCGACAGGGACCCGACTCCCTGACCCCGATTGGAACGGTTTTTCTCCAAAAAATACTCTCGACGGGCCGACGATGGTATTTAAAAATGAATCTCTGATCATTTTTGGGCCGGGGATGGTGATACCTTCCCCAGCCCCGGCCCGTCCGTGTCCCCGGCCTGTACTTGTTTACCCCGACATGAAATTACCTTTGCACCCATCTGCATATATATATATATATATATTTTATCTATTCTTTTGACTCATTTTAGGGTTTCACGCAGAGACACTGAGACACACTCACACACCGCACTCTCTCCTCTCTCTAGTCACATGGCTGCTGCCGCTGTCGCTCGGCGTCTCCCTTCTCCAGACTCTCCCACCGGCTCTTTGTCTCTCTTACGACAGATCGACCTAATCGACTCTCTAGTAATTTCTGCCTATCTCTTCTATCAACTCTTCGATTTCCTTGTTTTCATCCCGATCTATCAACTTTTCATCCCTTCTTTACCCCTTTGCAGATTTGTCATTTCCCCTTACAAATCTGGTCTATTTGTGTACAAATCTAGATTCTCCTTTGCCCTTAGACAGCTAAGGGATCTTCTCTGTAAATCTTTTTTGTTGTGTATGTTTGCAATTTTTTGAAAAGGTGTTTGTTGGGTCTCATCTTTCTACAACAATATTACTGCTCCTATTTTTTTTTAATCAAAATTCCTACCATTCCTCAAATGGGTGAGTTCCACAGTGAGACTCAGGTGGTAGAAATTTCAGTAAAGGGGGCGGGATCTCTTAACATTTTGGTTATATACAAGAACTATTATTTTTAGTTGATTGAATTATTTTATTTTGTTATTTTCGAAAAGTATATACAATATATTTGAAGTCTTAGCACTGAAATTATCAATTTCTTTCCATATATTATGATTCATTTTCAATTGCTTTCAATATCTTTATTTTTTGGTGTGGATGTTGTTTCAAAAAAAAAAAAAAAAAAAGTCAGAGATTTTTCGAGGTCGGAGAAACCCGATCCCTGTAGGGGGGTGGGGGAGGTCATGGGTTCCCGATCGGGAATCGAGGACGGGGATGGGGAATTATATAGGTTTAGGGATCGGGACAGGAAGTGCAATCCTCGGCCTGGCCCCGCCTCGCCCCGTTGCCATTCATATCTGTCATACTTTGTTTGTTTAGTTTTCATCAATAAAGTTTTTTTTTGCTGATCAAAAAATATTTGTAAGATTCTGTATTTTCAATTTGTTTAGATATTTTGTTTGTATTTTAAATTGAAAAAAAGTTTAGATATTCTATTGTATTTTCAATTTGTTTTCAATTTGAATTTTTTTTTATCAAATGGCAAGTGTTGATATTTGATATTTTTGTGTGGAAAATATAAGGCCTAATTTTTTCATCTAAAAAAAAATCAAATTAAATAGTTTTTAAATTAAAAAAAAAATAATGAAATAGTTTTGATAATGTATGTTTTTTTTATACGTATTTATTATTAATATTTGACAATTTAAATGATAATCTTTTAGTTATGTTGAGTTGGATTGTTATAAAAAAAATATTGGCAAATTATTGTATTATGTTCAAAATTTATAAAAATTTAAACCGCCAAACCGATTTACAATTATTTGCCAATTCGCTCAATCTGCATTCGTCAATCTGGCATATGGATGCAAATTAATTTTTTTCAATCCGGCATACAGATGATGGATTGAAAGTTTTCCGACTGCAACCGAACCATGAACACCTCTACTTAAAACTGATGTGATCTAGAAATAGAAATAGAGTAAAATTATTGCATAAGCATCATTTTTTTAATTATAAAATGTTGGAATGTTGATAAGTTAAATTACAATGAAAAAATTAAAATCATTTCATCAACTTGAATCTTAAATTTTTAACATTCTTATTATCTCAATAATTAATTACATAAATCACTGAACCGACTGTTTTATCCGCGTACCACTAATTTTCTTGTTTGTGAATAGTTTTAAAGTTGAAATACTGAAATTTATGATTGAAATATTCACATATAACTTTTGGACAAATAATTGCATTAGAAGTACACCTACCTAGGTTTCCTCATTTTTGTCTTTATTGTCATCATATCATATGAGAATTGTATCATGTACCTACCTACACCACAGCTACCTACTGAATTTGTGGATTTCTCTCTCTCTCTTTTTTGTTTCTTCTCTAATATGGAAGTAACAGCGAGCTCTATTGTTACCTCCATAGCTTTGGTAACTTTGCTAACATGGGCATGGAAGGTAGTGAAATGGGTGTGGTTGAGGCCAAAGCAGTTAGGGAAGTGGCTGAGAGAGCAAGGTTTCAAGGGAAATCCATACAAATTGTTGTTTGGAGACACCAAAGAGATGATACCAATGATGAAAGAAGCAAGATCCAAACCCATTGACCCTTGCTCCGACGATATTGTGCCCCATTTTCTACCATTCCACCATCACTGTGTCATTCTTCATGGTATGTATCTCTCTTGAAAACTCTACTTGTTTGAATAGTTTCGAATTAGGTTTTCAGATTTTTTGAGGGCCACAAATAGTGGTGTGAATTTTGGAATTAAAAAAACAGAAATCATACAGACTTTTTTTTTTTGCCCCCACAATCCCACATACATATCAACCAGAGATAAGAACAAAAAAGAAAAAAATAAAACAAAAACAAAACAAAAAGTTGACCAATCACAATATCTTATGTACATTATTAGGCTAGCATTTTACTATGTGATGCGCACATATGTGTAGACTAAATTTGTAAAAATTGAAACACTTAATTCATGTTTGTTATGAAAATTATTTCGAAATATGGGTGGTGGGGTTTCCAAAAGGAATTCCAACATTTTTTTTAAGGAAAATAAGTGAGACTTCTTTTTTAAGACCCCACGATCTCTGAAGTGATGACTTAGGTGTTGTGAGATCCCAAAAACAGAGGGTATCATTGTTGTTTCCTTAAAAAAAACAAACTAATATGGGTGGTGGGGTTTCCAAAAGGAATTCCAACATTTTTTTTTAAGGAAAATAAGTGAGACTTCTTTTTTAAGACCCCACGATCTCTGAAGTGATGACTTTAGGTGTTGTGAGATCCCAAAAAAGAGGGTATCATTGTTGTTTCCTTAAAAAAAAAAAAACTAAACAGGTCAAATGCTTGAGATTGGAGTTGAGTTTTGCATTTATGGCTGGACGACTTCTCAAATTATTCAATTTGTTACATTTTAATTTATTTAATATGTGATTTGTTACATTTAGTATTTAGTTTTTGGTGTTAGTGTCATTCAAAACAAATAATCGGGGAGTTAATTTTCAAAACTTTACCTAAAATCCCCAAATATGATTTTATTGTATTTTTATCCTTAAAATATATGCTCTGTTATCGAAAAACAGCCTCATAAATATGCTTGGAGAGCAAATTAAAAAATTAAAAAATTAAAAATTAACAAAAAAATGTAACAGGCCGGATACTTAGGGTGTGTTTGGTAACGTTTACGTTTTCAGTTTATATTTACAAAAATTTTATAAATTGATTTTTGTTTATTTTTTGTTTATTTTTAGAAAAACATAAACTATAAACGCGTTTGGTAATAACAAAACATGAGATCTTTAGTTGTACCTTATGTATTGTTTGATTATAATTTTTTTTTTAATTATAACTCTGAAAGTATAAAATTATATTATTATTTTTTTAATTATAAGACATATACGATACACATATGCACCATAGGCTTTCTTTTGTTGTTTAGAGACCATTTAATTAGCCATGATTATTTCTGATGAGAAATTGTTTTAGATAAAGTATTCTATCAAACTGGATAAGCACACTGTAGACACCCCATTTTTGACTGACCTTAAGACTCAGACGTCACCGATTGAGCGCTTGGTGATGTTGCATAATGTGCTCATTCAGAAGTTTCAGAGTCGCAGCCGTGAGCCCTGCCTCCGGACATCCGAACCCTCTTCTGTGCCTTGCCTCGGTTTGCGAACCAGACTCGGTTTTCTCTGTTTCTTTTCCTGAGGGGAGGGAAAGGTCCCGTAGACCATCTCTCAGTGGCCGTGGGCTACATTTTGTGGCCGTAGGCCATTTTGCCCATTTCGGAGTCCGATTTCCGGTTTTCCGGGACCGTTGGCCGTGTGCCTCGGTTCGGGACCGCCTAACCATCTCCGTTTGCTCTGCTTTTTGGCATACTTCTTATTTACTCCCTTTTGAGGGACACTGAGGTCTGAGAGACCCACTTCGTGGCCGAATGCCACTTTCGGTGTTAAACATGCAGTTTTTGGGGTCCCGAACTGCGTGTTTTGGCCCCCGAGCATTCGTTTTGCATCGATTTTCGTTCATTTTTGGCAGGTACCTCTGTTTTATCACTAGGAAGGCTGTAGAAGGGTGGGAGGCCAGCAATTGTTTCAACAACCAGTTTTATTCCTCCGACGCCCGTTTTTCTCGCTTCCGAGCTAATGTTGAACAACCTTGGGCCATTTTCTTGAACTTTGAACCACATATTTGTGTTGTACACACATGGGAGGACCCTAAAAGTTAGTGGCCGGCCACTAATTCCACTTGACCCTTTTGAACCCTCCCTAAAAATGGCCTATTCTCTCTCCTGTTTTACAGTTGACAATTTTGAACCACAGGGTTGTGTTGAGGACACCTGGGAGGACGGCAATGTGAAGTGGCCGGCCACTAATTCAACTTGGCCCTTTTGACCCTTGGCCGGCCGGCTAGGGGAGGTGGCCGGCCGGCCACCTGTAGCTCCAAAAAGTGGCCGGCCATGATCCTCAGGTTGTGTACTTTACAGTTGTATAGCTGTTTTCTCCCAAAAAGATCGGTATCCGGGGGACAGCTTTTGGGGGAAAAATTGGCTCCTTTTCCCCCACCTTTTCCCCTCCATATCTCTCTCTCCTTGGTCCATATAACCAGGGTCCAGCTTTGGTCTTAGGGGTTGGAAGAATTTTCCTTCAAGCTTTGCATTATATCTCCCTCCATCTCTCTCTTTCAAGCAAGAACATCCAAGTTTTACCACCCTTTCTTCATCACCACCTAGCATCACCACCACTACTCCATTTCCAGTAGCTTGGGGAGCTTTCCAGCAGCTAGGAGGCATAACTTCTTAAGCCAAGAAGCAACAAAAGACTTGTCTTCAAGGGTGAGTGCCATTTCTCCCTTTTTGAGCTTATTTTTGCAACATTTCTTAGCCATATATGCTTACTGTTTTGAGCTCCGGCCCTAACTGAAAGTGGACCTCTTTTGAGCTCTTTTTCACTTTTGCTTAAGGGCCTCTCACCGTTTGAGGTCCCCATCTTGCACTTTCTTCATTATCCATCTTGTGTGCCACTTTCTTGCATGATATTTTTAGCCTGTATGTGATCTGTTTTGGAGCATGATGTAAACTGTAAATAGGCTTATTTTGAGCCCCTCTTCAACATTGAAGAAGGGCTCATCACTGTTTGGGACCTCCATGTGCCACTTGTCATTATACCCCTCTTTGGTCCCCTTTTTTGCATGATTTATTAGCCTATTATGCTTCCATTTTTGGACGCTTTTCAGAGCTGAAAACAGTCTTATTTTGGCATCCTCTTCATGTTTCATTGAGGGTATTTCACTGTTTGAGACATCCTTTATATACTTTGTGTTATATCTCTCTTTTTTGGCCATATTTTGCATGATATTTTTGACTTGTATGCATACTGTTTTGGGTCCGTCCATCAACTGTGAAATGTATTATTTTTGGTCCCTCTTCAGTGTTGTAGAAGAGTCTTTTTCTGTTTGGGCTTTGCATCTACCACTTGCTTCTTTGTCCACTTTTTGGCTCATTTCTTGCATGAGAGTTTAGCCATATCTGTGCTGGTTTTTGTGACTTTCCATAAACTGTAAAAGATCATGTTTTGGGCCCCTCTTCAACTTTGTTGAAGGGCCCTAATCTGTTTGGAGCCAGCAGCTGTGAGTTGCTTCTTAATCTCATACTTAGGGCCATTTTTGCATGCTAGTTTTGCCCTATTTCTGTTTACTGTTTGGCCATGCTTTGAACTGTAAAAATTCTTGTTTTGGAGCTGCCTTGCTTCTGTCTTTTCATTCCATGTGCCAATGATGCATGCTTTGTATAGCTGTAAGCCATTTCATGTACCTAGTTTTGCATTTCGGGAGAAATTCCATGCATCGGGTGTCATTTCGCCTTGTTTCGGGGCTGTTTTGCCCCTCATTTTGCACTTCATTTTATCCGCTGGCATCCTATGTGAGTGTGGGTGAGGCTCACTCATGTTGGTATAAGCCCATTTGTCAGTTCCATGTCGTTTGCATTACGTATGCCATTACCTCGGTTTGCGTGCCCGCGTGCATGCATTTCGAGACACATATCATCGCCTCGGTTTGCGTGCCCGCGTGCACGCATTTTGAGACATGTCATTTTCTCAATTTGCGTGCCCGTGTGCACGCACTTCGAGGCATCTCATTTTCATTGCATTCTGCCATTTTCTCGGTTTGCGTGCCCGTGAGCACGCATTTCGAGGCACCTCATTTTCATTGTATTCTGTATGTTAGGATTATATCTTAGTTGCATTTCATGCATGTCATGCATATTGCATCGTGTTCGGGATAGGAGTTAGCCCAGGCACGGGAAACGAGGCACATTTCGTACTCCGAGTGACGGAATGCATCTCAATTCCCCAATCACCGACACTCCGGATCATCCATGATGGAGTTAGGTCTTGTTGTGTTTTCATGTGCATTCATTTCATATTAAATTGTGCAATTCGACTCCTCAGCCATCATGCCTCGATACGCGTGATTGGTGGCACGAGGATCGAGGCATGCATATATTTGTGAAAATACATTGCTATGCCCCTTTCCTGCTCTCTGTTGCAGCAAAATGAAGAATCAGTAACTTTTCGGAGCTTGGCACGCATTTCAAGAACAGGTGCAAACAGAGGCTAATCGGGACATCCCAGTGGATTTTCGCGCAAGGCAACCTAAACATACATCATTCATCAGAAGCAAGGCAGTCCCTGGCTTGCATGCCAATTTTATTTATTTTCTTAGTTAATTTGTTAATTAATTAAGAAATTTGTACATTATTTGGACTGTATTATTTGGACTGTAATATTCTTTTATTCGGGACTGTATTATTTATTCGGACCCTCTGCGCGAGGGCACAACTGTAATAAGTGTGCGTGTGTGTGTTGTATGTCTTCCAACCCCACGTCTTTCTCCCTTTTATTTACCCGCTTATGATGGTTAGATTAGGGCATGTTTCAATTAGCATACAGTATGATAGCATGTTTGCATTCATTCATTGTGGATTTCTCTCTCTCTCTTTTTTGTTTCTTCTCTAATATGGAAGTAACAGCGAGCTCTATTGTTACCTCCATAGCTTTGGTAACTTTGCTAACATGGGCATGGAAGGTAGTGAACTGGGTGTGGTTGAGGCCAAAGCAGTTAGAGAAGTGGCTGAGAGAGCAAGGTTTCAAGGGAAATCCATACAAATTGTTGTTTGGAGACACCAAAGAGATGATACCAATGATGAAAGAAGCAAGATCCAAACCCATTGACCCTTACTCCGACGATATTGTGCCCCATTTTCTACCATTCCACCATCACTGTGTCAATCTTCATGGTATGTATCTCTCTTGAAAACTCTACTTGTTTGAATAGTTTCGAATTCGGTTTTCAGATTTTTTGAGGGCCACAAATAGTGGTGTGAATTTTGGAATTAAAAAAACAGAAATCATGCTGACTTTTTTTTTTTTGCCCCCACAATCCCACATACATATCAACCAAAGATAAGAACAAAAAAGAAAAAAATAAAACAAAAACAAAACAAAACAAAAAGTTGACCAATCACAATATCTTATGTACATTATTAGGCTAGCATTTTACTATGTGATGCGCACACATGTGTAGACTAAATTTGTAAAAATTGAAACACTTAATTCATGTTTGTTATGAAAATTATTTCGAAAAATGGGTGGTGGGGTTTCCAAAAGGGATTCCAACATTTTTTTTAAGGAAAATAAGTGAGACTTCTTTTTTAAGACCCCACGATCTCTGAAGTGATGACTTTAGGTGTTGTGAGATCCCAGAAAAGAGGGTATCATTGTTGTTTCCTTAAAAAAAAACAAACTAAACAGGTCAAATGCTTGAGATTGGAGTTGAGTTTTGCATTTATGGCTGGACTACTTCTCAAATTATTCAATTTGTTACATTTTAATTTATTTAATATGTGACTTGTTACATTTAAGATTTAGTTTTTGGTGTTAGTGTCATTCAAAACAAATAACCGGGGAGTTAATTTTCAAAACTTTACCTAAAATCCCCAAATATGATTTTATTGCATTTTTATCCTTAAAATATATGCTCTGTTATCGAAAAACAGCATCATAACTGACACAAAATAAAGAGTAAAGTATAATAGATGATATGCTTGGAGAGCAAATTAAAAAATTAAAAATTAAAAATTAACAAAAAAATGTAACAGGCCGGATACTTACCTTTTCTTTTTGAGAAATTCTACTATATACATTTTTACCATTTGCATCCTTAATTTATGTAATTTTCTTTTTTTAATTAGAATTAATTTTTTTCTTTAATTATGATTTTATTTTAGTTATAACTTATGAGATCTTTAGTTGTACCTTATGTATTGTTTGATTATAATTTTTTTTTAATTATAACTCTGAAAGTATAAAATTATATTAATATTTTTTTAATTATAAGACATATACGATACACATATGCACCATAGGCTTTCCTTTGTTGTTTAGAGATCATTTAATAAGCCATGATTATTTCTGATGAGAAATTGTTTTAGATAAAGTATTCTATCAAACTGGATAAGCACACCAAATCCAACGACCATAGCACGTCCAACAATACACCCAAGTCCAACCCCAAGCCCATGGATATCAAACTCCTCCCATAAGAGTTGAATCTACAACTTCACACCTCAAAGTGGTGCTCCACAAACAATCACTATGCCAAGGGTCCTGGTTAATAACCGTGAAAATGTTTCTTCTTTTTTTCTTCTTTTTTTTGGGGGGGAGGGATTCCGAAACCGAAAATTTCTTTCACAAAAATTTGTTGGAATTATTTTGTGAACTTGATTGAATGTTTCAAAATTCCTTTTTACTGGATGGAAAAGACAAGATTTGAATGGATTTAGAATTGGACTTAGCTTCTTCTTTTTTCTTTTTATCGATACAAATTAATTGGACTTGGATTTATTTAATTTTTTTTTAAAATTAGCAAAAAGAAATATATTGATGTAAAAACCAGTCTAGACTTGGGAGCTGTTCGTATAGCCATGTCTGCCTCGCCCTCTGTTGAATAATTTTCTGCTTCACTTTCTGTTGCATAATATAAAACAATTTGGTTTACTCTTATATTTCTCCTTAGAAACATATCACCAGTTGCAATTCTATTAAACCAAACCATCCAGCCAAATTGCTTGTCGAAAAAAAATCAACAACACTTCCCTCCTTAGAATTAATTTGATAGTGTCATTGATTATTACATTACTAATGAATTTTCCCCCCTAATATTCCAGATTTTATACTTGGGGTGGGTGGATAAGTCAGGAATTGAGTTAGCAAGTCTAACTGGTTGAAGAGGCCCTTTGCAAAGGAGAAAATTAGATTGGCAGCGTTTGAGTGTGATCCGGGGGCTTCTATTTTTGTGATGGCAGTTTTTCAAGATAGTTGGAGTGTGGTCAAACGAGATTTGGTTGAAGTATTTTTTGAAAACAGAATTGTCAACACTTGCTCAAATGCTGCTTTTATTGTTTATTAATTAGACTTTGCTTCCAGTCAAGACAGTTAAAAAAAAAGAAGAAGAAGAAGAGAGAGTGCCTATACTGGTTATTGAACTTCAGATGCTAGCCAATCATATAGCACAAAATCATCCTACTCCTTGAACAACATAATCTCTCTTGTTGTTTTTATTTATTTCACATTTCTATCTTTGGTTATAGCGTTGAAAGAAGATGTAAAACACATTTTTATATCATCAATATTAAGATTCTTAAGCTCATCTCACATGTTATCATATATTGTTAATCATTTTATTAGACCAAGTCTTTAATGTACTTCTTAACCTGGAAAAATGGCCAAAACTTTCAGGTAAAGATTACTTTCAATGGTTAGGCCCAACACCGAGACTAACCATTACAGATCCTAAACTGATAAAGGAGATTTTATTTAACTATGAAGCTTTTCAAAAGCCAGGGATGAACCCACTTGGCAAGTTATTAGTGACAGGGCTTCTGGGGTACGAGGGTGAGAAATGGGCTAAGCACAGAAACCTTATCAACCCGACTTTTCATCTAGAAAAGTTGAAGGTATTTAATCTCTAATCTTGACTTCTTTAAGTTAAATACATTTGGATGCATGTAGTATGTTACAGTGTGCTTAGATGAAATTAAGAAAAAAATTAAAATTAAATAGACAATATTTTTTTTTTATACCTAGCCATTAATTTCCCTGTTTTATCCACTTCATTCATCCATTTTTCTTTTTTTTGGTTTCTTGCCCTTAAATTTTGTAAACTGCTCACTATTGTACTTCACAAATGCTTGTTAGACCCGACACTAGCTAATTTAATGTGTTATGATTGTCATGAATGAACAATATCTTACAAATTAGTTGGGATCCACATTCAAAATATCTTCTTTTGTTTTGTTTTTTTGTTTGTTTTTTTTTGTTGGTTTCTGTGTTATTCTTAATGAAACTTAACAATTCCTTCTTTCTGCACTTTCTTTTATTTGCACACAACAATGCCTCATCCTAACTAGATTTAGAATCATACACAAAAAATAATAGTACTAAACAAGTAAAACAATTAGAAACTGCTTAGTGATTGTTTGAACTAGACATTCATTTGCTTCTCTTCCTCAAAATTGCTTTCCAGAGTAACCAAAACCCCACAAACTGTTTACCATGCAAGTATTGCATCGGCAGTGCTTAACAATGTTTTTGGTATTTGTCGTATAGCAAATGTTACCAGCAATGTACTTAAGTTGTTGTGAGATGATAAGCAAATGCGAGGTATTAGTCTCAACAAAAGGGTCATGTGAGCTTGACGTATTCCTGTATCTTGAGAGTCTGACAGGCGACATAATTTCTTGGACATCGTTTGGTAGTAACTATGAAGAAGGAAAAAAGATATTCGAACTCCAAAAAGAACAAACAGATCTTACAATCCAACAATTGCAGTCGATTTACATTCCAGGATGGAGGTAAGGTAGAATTAGTTTATGATTGTTTTGCTTGCTTTCTGTTTGAAAGACAAAACTCTTATATTGCATTACAATTTTAATTATATACCAATTGTGAGTTTCTTTACTTGTGTATACTTGATTTATTTACTTAAAGAAACTTTGATTGTACCTGATATCTTCATTTACATACAAAGATTGAATATAGGATTGTAGACAAATTTCTTGGTAGATATTAAATGCTAAAAATATATATATACCTACCCAAAAAGTTATATATATATATATATATTGTAAATTTTCAAAATACTTTACTTCATATACTCAGCTTCTCATTGACAATTACGTTTCCAAAATTTATGTAGTTGAAGCCTAGATAGTTTTATCTTCTCATTTTCATATGATGCTTCATCGCTTTTTCAAGAAAATAGATTGGAAACTTTACATGTCTTTCTGTCCCAAGTAGTACCAATCACAAAAATTGAACCTTCTATTTTGGTCCTTTTTTGATGTCTTCATCTCTTCGAGATTTACTGGATTGCATGTAGGTTTTTACCAACAAAGACAAACAAGAGGATGAAAGCAATCTATCATGAAGTGGGATCTGTACTACGCAATATCATCAATAAAAGAGAGAGAACGATGAAAGATGAAGATGAAAATAATGACTTATTGGGAATACTATTGAAAACAAATTTGAAAGAAATTCAAGAAAAGGGAAATAAGAAGAAAATCACGCTAACAATAGAAGAGGTGATCGAAGATTGCAAGCTATTCTAGCTCACTGGGCAAGAGACCACCTTGGCTTTGCTTGTGTGGACAATGGTCTTGTTGAGTAAGCATCAAAAGTGGCAGTCTCTAGCTAGAGAAGAGGTTTTGGCAGTATTTGGGGAAAACAAACCAGACTTTGATGGGTTAAATCAGCTTAAAACTGTGAGTATTTTCTGCATAAACTAATTTTTGGAATTGTTCTCAAATTAATAGGACTAACTACAGAACTTTTTGCCTATCATACTAAAATCTTTTCAGAAAGAGAAAAATGTAATGCATGAATATAATTTGGAAGTTCGTGAATTGTATAAACTAAAACGGAACAGCTGTCATCTTCTGAAGAAGAAATTTAAGTACTAGCTATAATTGAATTGGTACAAGAATAACAACGTAGATTTATACATATTAATTTATGCTCCCTTAGACATTAGAAATTTGTGTTATTTGTTTATATTTTTTAACTTTGAATGAAATATTCATACGTATAACCTACAAAAAATTGATAATAGAACAATGTATTGTGTGTATTCTCCATGTTTAGTGTTCTGTATTTCTCAAAAATTACTATATCGATATGTCTATGTAGCTTCTTAGGTGTGCAAAAAATGCATACATATGAATGCAGAGCTATCATTTGATTATTGTATGAAAACATGACCAATCCAATTATACTTCTGCATTATGTATGTGTTAATGTACACTAAACCTAACCCACTAACCTAACCCACTACATCCACTCCACTAAACCTAACACACTTACCATCTCCACTACCACCCACCACCTCCACTACCATCCACTACCACCACTCACCTACCTCACACCTCTCCTATATAATAGCTTGTAACATACAATACAGATACACATCAATGTAATATCAATCAATATACATCAATTTATTTTACATGAAATGACGATGACTGTTGAGAAGTGAATATGTTCTATTGTATTTTATTGAGTTCAATATCTCTTGATTTTTGATTATGTGGAGAGCAAGATGATATGAACCTCTGAACTCCCTACAAGATAGCACAATTGTGAGGGCTGCCCCACTAATGGTGCTCGGCCAAAAGAGTACTCTGATGTAGGGATGGCAATGGGGTGGATATTAATTCCCCATCCCATGGGTTCTACCCTTCCCATCCCTAATGGGTTTGGATTTCCCCCCAACCCAACTTGACCCTCATATAAATAAAGAAAACAAAAGTGAGAAGCAGAAAAACAGAGTGAGAAAGAAAATGGCAATTCCCAGGAAAAAAAACAGCCACTAGGGAAATGATTCCATGATGAGACCAATTAGTGAGCTTGAATTTTCACAAAAGATAACAAACACCCACAAAATGATTCAACATTGAACTACTTATAAAATTAACAGATTGTGACCGAGTCACAAAGGTTACATGATTGATTAACAAAATTAATTTTCTAGTTACTAAAACTAGAAAATAAATTACAATACAAAATAATTTTATTTTCCTTGTTACTAAAACTAGTAAAATAAAATACCGAAATAATATCTGATTACAAAAATCAGAAAACCAAACCACAAATTAATTTTCTAGTTACTTAAACCAGAAAATAAATTAAAACACAAATTAATTTTCTAGTTACTAAAACTAGAAAATAATTATTACAACAAAATAATTTTATTTTCCTTGTTACTAAAACTAGAAAAATAAAATATCACAAGAATTTTCTCTGAAACTAGAAAATAAAATACCACAATACTATCTGATTACAAAAATCAGAACAAACACAAAATAATTTTCTAGTTACCAAAATCAGAAAATAAATTAAAACACAAAATAATTTTATTTTCTTTGTTACTGAAACTAGAAAATAATATAATTTTATTTTCCTTGTTACTAAAACTAGAAAAATAAAATACCAAAATAATTTTCTGTAACACTAAATAATATTCTGCAATTGTTAATGACACCAGTATATTACTACTAGTTGTCAAAGAAAAGAGACAGTATATTACTACTATCTGTCAAATAGCATAAATCACTATTTGTTTTTCCAACCAGAATATTAGTTTGAAAACACAGAAAATTAAATACAATGAAGATACCAAAAAGGAATCTGTCTTAAGATTGTAGGACAATCTTCACTGTATTTAAAAGATTTAATTCTATTGTGTACACAACAACAATTAGAATTTAAAGAAATAAAGAAAAGGAGAGAATTTGTTTGATTACAAAAATCAAACTCGAAATAAAAAAAATTACATAAATAAATAACATATTTTATTTTGTTACAAAAACAAAATTTAAATATAATTTTAATAAATAAAAAACAACACTGAAAATAAATTAAATAACTTACTTGATTTAATTTCTCCGAATTATTTTTTGATCAAGTCCAGTGTGTTGACACTGTGTCCTTAAGACAGATTCGTCCTCTCCACGGTGCTTTTCGAATTTGGACGTCTATCTCCCAGGATAAAATGATCTACTACAAACAATAGCAGCACTACAAATTGTTTGCCTTACGAACACACTAAGTGTTTATACTCTCTCTGACAAGAAAATAATGCAGCAAAATGAAGAGGATGTTTTGCAGAGGATGGAGTACGAAAAATCTGAGTAAAATCCAAATGGGAGGCTAGTCTATTTATAGATGTAAATGTGGCTCTTGGTTTTGAATTGAACAGGTATGAAACCTATTAGTTTCAAATTTAAACAGATTTGAATCTGTTGGGTTAATAATTCAAACAGATAAAAAACGGGAATGGCTCTGTTTGGATGAACAGTAAATCCAAACCAGTTTAATTTGAATTATGGATTTTATTTTAACAAAAATAAAAATAAATTCAAATGTTTTTTGCCCAAAAAGATTAGTATTGGGCTGAATAAGCCCACACCTAGGCCTAGCCCGATCGGACGGGCGGCGGCGCGAGCGCGTGTGGTGATTTTGGATCCAATGGGTTTAGTCCATTTTGCCCATAATCTCTCCCTCTAAAACACTTGGGTACCCCTTGGGGCACACCCCAAGTATCTAACCCAAGCCTTATAAATCCTTTCAAAACTTCCCACCAAATCAACGTGGGACAAGCCAATTTATAACCTTAAGGAATTTCTACCAAAACTCCATTTGCATGGAGTACACTTTGGCTTCAATTTCCCATTCACTCGGTAATGGTTTTGAGCAACCAAATATACCACGTGAATCACAACGTGGCATAGAACGCGTTACCACTTTGACCCGAGTAAATCGACACTCGGGGCCCACCTAAAAATAAACCAAACTTGAAAAAAAATTCTGATTTTACCCAGAATTTTTCTACCATTTTCAACAGGCCCAACACCGAGACTAACCATTACAGATCCTAAACTGATAAAGGAGATTTTATTTAACTATGAAGCTTTTCAAAAGCCAGGGATGAACCCACTTGGCAAGGTATTAGTGACAGGGCTTCTGGGGTACGAGGGTGAGAAATGGGCTAAGCACAGAAACCTTATCAACCCGACTTTTCATCTAGAAAAGTTGAACGTATTTAATCTCTAATCTTGACTTCTTTAAGTTAAATACATTTGGATGCATGTAGTATGTTACAGTGTGCTTAGATGAAATTAAGAAAAAAATTAAAATTAAATAGACAATATTTTTTTTTTATACCTAGCCATTAATTTCCCTGTTTTATCCACTTTTTTTTTTTTTTTTTTTTTGGGTTTTTGGAGCAAACATGAGAACCAAACCACCATTCATCCATTTTTCTTTTTTTTTGGTTTCTTGCCCTTAAATTTTGTAAACTGCTCACTATTGTACTTCACAAATGCTTGTTAGACCCGAGACTAGCTAATTTAATGTGTTATAATTGTCATGAATGAACAATATCTTACAAATTAGTTGGGATCCACATTCAAAATATCTTCTTTTGTTTTGTTTTTTTGTTTGTTTTTTTTTGTTGGTTTCTGTGTTATTCTTAATGAAACTTAACAATTCCTTCTTTCTGCACTTTCTTTTATTTGCACACAACAATGCCTCATCCTAACTAGATTTAGAATCATACACAAAAAATAATAGTACTAACAAGTAAAACAATTAGAAACTACTTAGTGATTGTTTGAACTAGACATTCATTTGCTTCTCTTCCTCAAAATTGCTTTCCAGAGTAACCAAAACCCCACAAAATGTTTTCCATGCAAGTATTGCATCGGCAGTGCTTAACAATGTTTTTGGTAGTTGTCGTATAGCAAATGTTACCAGCAATGTACTCAAGTTGTTGTGAGATGATAAGCAAATGGGAGGTATTAGTCTCAACAAAAGGGTCATGTGAGCTTGACGTATTCCCGTATCTTGAGAGTCTGACAGGCGACATAATTTCTCGGACATCGTTTGGTAGTAACTATGAAGAAGGAAAAAAGATATTCGAACTCCAAAAAGAACAAACAGATCTTACAATCCAACAATTGCAGTCGATTTACATTCCAGGATGGAGGTAAGGTAGAATTAGTTTATGATTGTTTTACTTGCTTTCTGTTTGAAAGACAAAACTCTTATATTGCATTACAATTTTAATTATATACCAATTGTGAGTTTCTTTACTTGTGTATACTTGATTTATTTACTTAAAGTAACTTTGATTGTACCTGATATCTTCATTTACATACAAAGATTGAATATAGGATTGTAGACAAATTTCTTGGTAGATATTAAATGCTTAAAATATATATATACCTACCCAAAAAGTTATATATATGTATATATATATTGTAAATTTTCAAAATACTTTACTTCATACACTCAGCTTCTCATTGACAATTACGTTCCCAAAATTTATGTAGTTGAAGCCTAGATAGTTTTATCTTCTCATTTTCATATGATGCTTCATCGCTTTTTCAAGAAAATAGATTGGAAACTTTACATGTCTTTCCGTCCCAAGTAGTACCAATCACAAAAATTAAACCTTCTATTTTGGTTCTTTTTTGATGTCTTCATCTTTTCGAGATTTACTGGATTGCATGTAGGTTTTTACCAACAAAGACAAACAAGAGGATGAAAGCAATCTATCATGAAGTGGGATCTGTACTACGCAATATCATCAATAAAAGAGAGAGAACGATGAAAGATGAAGATGAAAATAATGACTTATTGGGAATACTATTGAAAACAAATTTGAAAGAAATTCAAGAAAAGGGAAATAAGAAGAAAATCACGCTAACAATAGAAGAGGTGATCGAAGATTGCAAGCTATTCTAGCTCACTGGGCAAGAGACCACCTTGGCTTTGCTTGTGTGGACAATGGTCTTGTTGAGTAAGCATCAAAAGTGGCAGTCTCTAGCTAGAGAAGAGGTTTTGGCAGTATTTGGGGAAAACAAACCAGACTTTGATGGGTTAAATCAGCTTAAAACTGTGAGTATTTTCTGCATAAACTAATTTTTGGAATTGTTCTCAAATTAATAGGACTAACTACAGAACTTTTTGCCTATCATACTAAAATCTTTTCAGAAAGAGAAAAATGTAATGCATGAATATAATTTGGAAGTTCGTGAATTGTATAAACTAAAACGGAACAACTGTCATCTTCTGAAGAAGAAATTTAAGTACTAGCCATAATTGAATTGGAACAAGAATAACAACGTAGATGTATACATATTAATTTATGCTCCCTTAAACTTAGAAATTTGTGTTATTTGTTCATATTTTTTAACTTTGAATGAAATATTCATACGTATAACCTATAATAAATTTACAATAGAACAATATATTGTGTGTATTCTCCATGTTTAGTGTTCTGTATTTCTCAAAAATTACTATATCGATATGTCTACGTAGCTTCTTAGGTGTGCAAAAAATGCATACATATGAATGCAGAGCTATCATTTGATTATTGTATGAAAACATGACCAATCCAATTATACTTCTGCATTATGTATGTGTTAATGTACACTAAACCTAACCCACTAACCTAACCCACTACATCCACTCCACTAAACCTAACACACTTACCATCTCCACTACCACCCACCACCTCCACTACCATCCACTACCACCACTCACCTACCTCACACCTCTCCTATATAATAGCTTGTAAAATCAATATACATAACAATCAATATATCGATAAATCAATAATAATACATCAATTTCTTATCATGGTATCAGAGCTAAGTTAAGAACTTAGTCTTTTTCGCTTCACCGGCGGGCGGCAACCTCGCCTTGGCCGCCCGCCGGACCTCAACCTATTCCGTTTATTTTCTACACATACCTTCACTCCGCTGTATCTTCAACTCTCTCTCTAGTTAATTCTTCTAAATCCTCTTCGATTTTAAATCAACACCAATGACAGAAATGTTGTCAGAACTGTTTCTCCCAAAAGCTATTTCAGTGAGACTATCAGCGACTGCTTGTGCTGCGGGAATCTCATCATCCATCATGCATCTGCGCCGTCTCCTTAAGAGGCGTCTAGCCACCTCTCCAACATCTTCGTTTGACATGACATCCCAAAGACCATCACTTGCCAATATTAGACACTCATCCTCATCGCTCCTTGTTGTGGAAGAGATTTCAGGAACAGGACTTCTGCTCTTTAACATGGACAGGTCCCATAAAGAAGTTCTCATATATTTCAGTGCAGCCTTGAAGAAAGCGAAGAAGCACACACTACCTGTCTTCTACATCGGCGAACGGGCAGTGGACTATGGAGTTCATAAGCTCTGGGAGTACAACAATGTTGGGAAGCGGTATGAGGACATTCCCGTTTTGGGACAGAGACCAGCTGAATGAATTACCAATCTCTCTTTTTCTCATCTATCACAGGGATAATTCAGCCCCTACTACTATTAAATCATATTTCTTTGGTTGAGCAAATTTCTCAATATTTAATTCACAACTAGATTTAATTTTCATTCTTATAAATACAAGCAAAAAGCGTTTCAAAATAATTTATTGAGCAATACATTTAAAAATAATAATTAATTGAGAAATATAGCAAGTAGGTTGCTTTGGCTTGTTTCAAGTTTTAACACATTTAAAAAATAATAAAAATAACATAATGGTAGAAACAAAAATAATCTTGGCAATAATTTTACAACACTTCTCATTTCAATTTTTTCCGTCATATGTGCATGTTCCTTTCACTATTATCATGCTCCAACCCCAGTATGGTGTATAATTGGACTTACAAAAAGTCTAGCATTTGAATATTTGCAATGACAATATGTTAAAAAGAGGACCTTTAACATTGTGTTAATATTGTAACTGAATAAAATTTAATATGCTTATAGGAACTTTGAATCGCAATGCAAAGGTATATATTATAGACATAAACCGCTTCCATCATCTGTACAATCTTTCTATCATAATACGTATTCATGCTGCCACGTCACAACAATTTAAAATCAACTTTAATCTTGTGTTAAAAACTAATTAACACTCAAAATAATTTGAAAACTTCTATCGTGATTGAAACTCTAAAAAACATAACGAGTAAATTACAATTTGTACTCTTGTATTTTGTATCAATTCTCACTTTAGCCTTTACACATGAAATCATGACAGTCAACCCATGCACTTCTAATCAAATCTGAAATTGTGATAGTCAACCCCTTGTACTTTTGGTGATCCCTATGCAAGTGTCAATGTCCCATTTCTATTACTCAATTGTTTAAATCTTTAACAGAATATAGTCATGTAATAAGAATGTCACTACAACATGAGAGTAAGAAAGGAAAATTAGCTACATTTGTCATCAATACACACTTTATCCCAAAATTTACATCAAAATATGACTGTATTACGCTAAAACAAAATGTAGATTGTGAACAATTAAGAAGATGAATTAGGATTTTGTATAAATTAGAATCACGAAATTCTATTTTTCACAATAACACAGTCTTAAGTCTATTCATCTTTCTCTCTCTTTGATTTCTTTGTTGCATTTTTTTTTAATTTCAAAAACTCTACTTTCTTGTCTTTTCATCCTAATTTTTACCATATGAATATATTAGCGTATACCCGTACCTGAAGGCACAGTGTAAATAATGCTGGGATTAGAATATAATTGTAATCCCAACACTATTTAATAAATTATCAATTATCAATTATTAATTTAATATAATTGTACCCTTCTTGTCTTAAAAATAAATTATCAATTATAGAGATGAAATTATGCCTTCAACCTGAAAATCCCTGTTTCTATACCAAGAAAATGGCACAGGCAAACAACCATTGTTGAGCTTTGGTGACCCACCATGAAACAAACTCAAAAACATCTATCTAAGTTCACATAAGTTGTGGGAGTTTCCAATCAAATGAAGGGATTTGAAATTAAACTTTATAAGAACATAGGCGAGTTTTCAAATGAAATTCAATTAAGGCCCGAATAGTTTTATTTTAGTTTAATTACGTGTTTATGCAATCTTTAAGTTGTTGATTTGTTCTTTCATTTACAGTCAACAATAAAGCAAAAAGTTTTGCGAGTAGGTAAAGAACAAAGTTTTCCAACAATCAAAGCACATCCAAACTCAATGTTTGAACTTTCAAGGAAGGAGAAAAAAAGAAGCTTGAAAACAAAACTTATTTGGTAATTTTTTGGCAAATTTTCTATAGACTTAAAAGCCTAGAAATAAAACGTCCACTGTTTAATTATGGAGATGGGCTCAACTCCAAAATACATTATTATTAATTCCAAAATTAGACATATCTCTATAAAGTTACTTGTCAAATAGAAGGCTGACTATTGCAAAAGGGAAGCACTGTGTGCTGTACATGAAATCTTAAAAGTAATACAAAATATTATCAACCAACAAATCCAAACAACAAATCCTTCAGGATTCAGAATTCAAACAACAAATCCAAACAACATAATCAACCAACAACAGTGATCAAGAGCAGAGAAAGGGAAATTCAAGAGACAATGTAAAATACCTCTATTTTGGTGTTGAACAATGGGTCTTGAAGCCACTGTTGGGAAATTAAAAAACATTAAAAAAATTTGAGTTATTGACATAGGATGGTAAAGCTAAAGGAGCCTCAAGAAGGTCTATTAGTGTGTCCTCAATCTGGAAGTCCTTTGCATTATATATAGGACAATCAGTAGTGATGGGTCATCACTCATGTCCATCTATGTGTGTCCATCTCTCACCTCACCCTTTGCCTTCTTCTATGCAAACATTTCAACTGTCATATTTGTAATCTCTCAATCTCATCTTCTGTGTATCTTTGCTATTTTCATCTTACCCCTTCAAATGCCAACCACCAATCTTATCATTCTCTGTAATAATTTTTAGCGTAATAATCTTGTAATTTAAACATCTAATTGATTGTCATTTGGGGTTTGAACTATCCTTAAATCACACATGCAAGATTATTATACATTTTTTGTGTGTGCATAGAATCCTAGTATCTATATATACATACACAGTGAATACATTGCTTGATTATTCACGATGACTTCAAATGAGGGCATGTCGAAAGATTGTTCACTAAATAATTTGACCATTTCTGTAATGGAAGCGCGACAGGATATGAGTTCCTTTTTTTGTGTGCTTCAATTACTTAACAATTTCTTGGAATTTTGTTATCTTGTATGTTATCTCATGAAAAGTGGATAAAGATTTACAATTATCAATTTGGAACTATTTAATAGTTTGGTTGAAACTAATTCTTTTCTATTATACTAAAATTGCTATAAATTAGAGGATGATTAGTCAGTTGCAGATTTCTGCATGGCAAATCATGGGGTTGCCGAACCAAAAAAAATATTGCAAATGAAAGAGAAAAAAAGGTAAGTGTGTGCATGTTTGATTAGAAAGCCAAAAAATTAGATACAGAGGCACTGTTAGTAGAATTACTATTAAAGGGTTTTGACACATATGTATACAACTAACCAATGATGAGCTTGGAATGTGTCCTGTGCATTCACAAACACTGGAATGTAGCCCATGCATTAATAGAGAGAGAAGACCAGCAAGAAAGTTTATGGGATGAAAATTTTCTGCAGCAAGAAAAGTTTCTGGGCTAATAAGAAAAAAATAAAGTATTACCTGGGTTTCTTTGTAAGGCTACGTGCTTTGTTGCAAAGGAGGGGCTTTGTTTAGAGTTTCAAATCTTAGACTATATCACATTTACACAAATAGATTATCGTATCAAAACCCAAATAAAAATGCTAGATTCTCACACCCTCACATTTACACAAATCATATCACATTTTACACAAATAGAAAACGCAAATAAAACTCCTTGATTCTCACACCCTCTTCCAAAAAAAACCTAACCCAACATGGTACAAATGAAAATACAACGGAACAATAACAGAAGAGGGAAAAAAAAGTGAGAATTTAACCTTCTACCTTGGATCTGTGTGAATTGAGCTGTGTAAAGGAAAGTCGGATGGTGCTATTGTGGTAGAGAGAGAAAGCTTGGGAAGAAGAAGAGATGTGGTGGGAATGAGAGGAAGAGGTGTGAGAGAGAATGAAGTTTCAAATTTTTGAAATCCAAACATGAACGGGTGAAAGAGAAAAGATGTCTGTGACAGTGAGAGTTGAGGCGTGTTTGAGATGTGAGAGACGTGAGAGTTGGGTGGGAACCCAAAAAGCTAAATCTGGACCATTCAAACTGAATATAAAACTGATCTCAACCATTGAAATGTCTCAATAAAACTCTTCTCAACTGTATTTAGGCTCTATTTGAAAATTGCTAACTTAGTTAATTTTCTAATTTTTGACCCAAAAAAAATCTATAAAAAATGATAAATATTTATAGTGATTTTTAAATTTTTAATAAAAATTATAATTCCGAAATAGACTTTAAATTTTTTTTTTTTTACACACCCACCCCAAAGAGTTCATTTCACACACCCACCCCAAAGAGCTAAAGGGCCGAGTCGACTCAATTTTTTTTTTTCACTCTCATTC